ATGCGCAAGAAACTAAGCTAATTCATCTTTGTTTTGTGAAATTAAGATATATTGATCGCCTTTACTGTGAGATATAGCGGAGCTAGTGTCTGAGACACAGTTTACGAGCTACAGATATAAAACCGTGCGTTGTCTAGGGTTAACTTTGCAGGTTCGTCCTTAACAAAATTATCGTCGCGCGATATAACAATCAAACAACTCAAACAATTAATCGAATAATCAATTTATTTACTACAACATGACACTCAATCGATCCGATATTTTTTTGTTCGTTACTTTCATCGCTGTAATCGCGATCTATGAATTATTTAATCGAGGCATCTTAACTACGGATACACTCCACACAATTATCCCTGGAAATGGGACAATGTATATAATTCTCATCATGGCATTTATATATATACGCAAAATAATGCCGAGTGATCCTTCTATACAAAAACTCGAAAAAGCAATTTTGACACTCAATAATGAAATTAATAGAATGCGAACTGAAACAGAATGGAAAAGTGAGATTCGCTCTCAAGGTAATTCAGTTATTTATTATTCGTAGTAACAACGTGGTTATATCAATGTGTTTAGCACTAACTTACTATCTTCGCCGATTAAAGGACGAGAATCTGTAAGAAGCCACAAATCCGAATACCCCGACGAAACTGAGACTCTCTGGGTTGAATTTACCGCCCTATTTAACGAGAGAAGAAAGAGGGAAGGACGCTCTCCTACGAAAATGTATAATGTTTTATCTGAAGAGATAGAGCTCAGTCCAGCTACACTTGCTAGCTTCTATCGGCATCAGAAATCTCCTCAAAGAACTTCACTGGATAAAATCGAGACCTAGGTCGAGAAAGAAGGAAAAAAGAAAGATACTTACTTTAGTAGTCTAGGTAGTAGTAATGAATTCAATAGTAATAATAGCAATGACGATAGCTAGTGTGAGTAGCGAGAAAGGAACTGCCATTATATGGGTTAGGGCTCGGCAGGCATTTATGCTTTATTCCTCCCTTGAAACATCCTGCTACATTCACTTTATTAGTTCCATTTTTTACTTAACAGATCCATATTTTATGTGTATATACAGTACATTCTCAAATATGAATTTGTTTTCCCATATATCCGGCTTGTAATAAAAAAATTAAACGACAAACTTCTAAGAGAGCATGCATTAAATGACCTAGGATCCGCGTACTCCCCTCTTTGATAGCACCACACATTTTCGCTTCTCTAGTATTCTGATTCGCTATGCATTAATAAAGTTTCGTTTTTCTTTGTAACGCACGATCGACATTTCTCGTAAAAAATTTTCTCCCGTTTTCTAATTAGTCAAAAGACAATGTCTAGCAGGTGGTGTGCTTACTTTGACAAAACCGATCCTAAAGAATATTGTTTTCTGGACTTTTATGAATACCGTTCGAAGCAAGTGGACTTTACCTTCTCTTTTCAGAAGGAATCCTACAAATTGCAAATGGATCTCGATAATCTCATGAAGGATGGCTCAGAGGAATCGAAGGAAACTGCTAGTCAGCTAAACAAAATTTTTAGGGCAAGTACTTTTTTTTATATTATTCTTTGTGTAAGTGATTAGCAGAGGGAGTTCTTATAGCTACGGGGACAATGGAATGCTGTCTACCTTATGGTCGGAATGTCCGCTATTAGAAAATGGAACCCTTACAACTACGGGGACAATGGAATGCTGTCTACCTTATGGTCGGAATGTCCGTTGTAACAGCTTTCAGCAGTTTGCTAATTTCGCGTGGATCATACATAGACCATTGGAGTTTATACACTATTGAAGTCTATACTTTAACTGATCATATTAATTCTTTATTTTTAAGGGCCATCGTGATACTTTTTGCGATGTCAACGCTTTTTGGAATAAAATTGAACTAAATAGACGGCTACAGGATCAGTTACAGACCGCAGAGGTTATAGTTTACTTGTTGCTTCAACAAAGGTTGGCACTATATTAATTTATTTTCTTTACTGACTGCAGGTTGAAGCTACTAGTTCGTTGATAAGTGTTTCCAAAAAAACCTTTGCAACAACAATTAGAAACGTTCATTCGGCTGTCGAAAATGTTAACGACGCATTGGTATGAAATACTGTCGATAGATAAGCATTTGTTTACTTTACTAATATATTATTCACAGACAATAACAGGAACAGGAAATCCCAAAAACGATCAGCTGAAGAAGCTTCCCCTATTGTTACACCTCCTCCCAACCTTCGCGACCGCTCTCCTTCTCCATCTTATTACAACGGGAATAATTCTTTAGATGATTACGATGAAGAATCAGCTGAGGTCTCCAGTAACTTTTTTTTTAAATTTGTTTGTTTTGTGATGTGTATTAGCTCATTTCTAATCTGCGTTATTACTTCTAAGAAGACGAATGATTACGAGTCTGATGTAGAGATAATACGTAAAGAAGATGATAATCCTTTTGACGTAAGAAAAGATGAAGGTTCAACGAAATATAAAGTTAGTATTAATCGACGCTAACATAATATTTTCAATATAATAGTCCCAATTTTGACATTAACTAATTTGATTCATGTTGTTCAAGGTCGTCTTATCATGGAGGCATGCAATCGATAATATGGTCATAAATAATGTCTCTGGGAATGACGTAAGCGTTGAGAAACATTCATCTTTCCGTGACTTATTACTGATATGGTCTAAATTTCATTCTCTTTTTATATAGTGGGTAACACGGGACGGACACAACATTTCTATCGACTTTCGTAATTTTCAGTTAAAGTCAATTGAAAAATTAGAAGCCGATCCAAGTTTATCATACGCGAAAGAAATTGATTTGATATTGTAAGTATTTCTCTTTGCAAAGTTGTAGAATTTGGATATAACATTTAATTTTGGATATGTTTTTAGATGTCTATCATCGATTATGTATTGCAATGAACTTAAACCAAAATATGTTGAATGTTCCCAAAAGGCATGGAATGAAGCTCGTCCAAGATCATTAATTCCGAAGGAGTTGCCGACAGTTGCTGACTTAGCAATAATTGAATACAGCAGGGTAAATATCTTCCTTGATATTATTATAAGCGACCAGCAAACACATTAATTTGTTATTTGTGTTTCTAGCTTTTGAATGACAAACAATTACTCGATACGAAGTGGCGTAACAATTGGGCAAAAGGAAATACATTATTAACAGATGAAGACAAAGACATCTTTGACTGTGTACAGATAGTTTCAAGGAATTTGTAAGTTCTAATTAAATTTAATAAAAATATTTGTTAGGTATTATTAATACTTATTTTTTGCCTCGCAGTTTTACCTACTTGTCTTCGGTGAGTTATGATGAGGATAAAAAATTGGACGAAGATACGTTCGTCCATCGATACTGTCATCAAACACTGGAAGAAATATTCAATAAAATCGAACTCTCATTAGTTTGGTAAGTCTCATGCAATCATTACGTTATACTAGATATATACGCTTAATTTCACTATTGAAATAAAGGGCTAATGGAGAATCCGAAAGTTCCAAAGAGAGACGTTTATTGGATGGTCATAACCATGGTAGAAAGCCAGACTTCCGGATCCTCTCAAAGATTGATGACACTGAGAGAGAGTTCGTATTCGGTGAGATAAAGCCACCGCATTGCCCTAATACCATAAATAAGACTATCGTTAAGTTAGCAGAATTCATGAAAGGGTCCTTAGATTTTATTATCGATATTCACGGTTATGTGGCTGGCCTGGAAACATATGGTATATTAATTTGTGGTAAGTATCTCTATTATATCTTTGCTGATGTTTGATTGCCAAACTAATAGAATTAAAACCAATAGGAAGCGAAATTAAAATTTTTAGTATCGATTTGGTATATGACGGTCTATACCGTTTTAATCTATTATCGAAAGTGTTGTTCCCGACGGAAAGTGCGAATTTTGTAAACATTGTCACTGTAGTATCTACCCTATATTCATTATTGGTAAGAATCTTACTTATAATATCTTCAGTAAGTTGCTTCGCAGTTTGGTCTCATTATTCTTATTTATGTAGGAAAGGTTACGATCTACTATTAATATTATAAATTCATCCCAATTAACATCTTCCCCCCGTCACTCATATTGTCGAGATTCAAATTCATCACCCAAAATAATACGTGTACCGATAGTCAGAGTTTAGTTAATATTAAGTGGTTTTTATGTTGGCTAAACGGTAATGTGATAGTCTTATGTTCATTAATGTCGATATATGTGTACACTGTATTTTCATATTACAGTAAATAAAACGGAACAATATACAATGCAAAAAGTAATATTCATGAAATAAGGCCAAATGATCATATCTTAATTGTTTACTTTTTATGTGAATATGGCATCGGAAGAATAAAAAAATTTATATACCAATTTTCCATATATATTTATACAAATGTTAAACCCATGTGTTTTTATCGAAATTTTTTCTTATTCTTTTTGGGACGCACACGCAATTTTTTTATGTATATAATATGAGCATACATGTGAGAAGGCAGGATCGAATTCTATTCATCCAATTTCAGGGCCGTATCCCAACCTAATCTAATTGCTAAAGGATCCCAATCGAAAAAAAGTCAAACCGAGATACCAGAAAGATTTTGTGATAAGAGGCGAGGAAATATTGGTATGTAATTATTTAACATGGGCTAGTACGTTTGTGTTAATCTTTTCATTGTGTTACATACATTGTTAAAATTGCTAATTATGATCGCTACTTCTATCGCGTGCCAGACGTGGGTTGAAAGCAGAGGATCCACTACCCGATGGGGTATAATTCGATACTTATATAGCAAAAATAATTATATAGATTTAGCGGGTTTAAAATGTAAATATATCAGATGATCACTGGTTAAATAAAGATACTGTAAACATATTAATCGTAATTATTTTTTCTTGGCAAAAGTGATCGGCGTTCCGAAAAAGAACGCGCACATAATTTTTATTAATTTGAAATTTTGAATAAATATGTATCTTATATAAAAATTATTATTAAACATGTCATCGGAGCTTGAATTATTGAGACAACGAGTTACCAAGCTTGAGGCTGAAAATACCAAATTAAAACAGATCATAGAAGAAATAGCTAATCTTAGGATCGAAAATACAAGATTAAAACAAATCATAAAACAAAATAGAACTACTAATGATGCTTCGCAGTCTTCAGTTTCTCCGGCATTATCAGTAACTCCACAAATGCCTATTCCAACACCTATTAATGGTCAGTCTGACGAGGATGATACCCCTGAGAAATTTGTTTCTTCCGAAATAAATTCTAATAATACCTCAAGACAGATAGAAAACACATCCGATTCTGACTTATACCAACCAGAGACCAAATCGTTGAAAGATAAGGAAATCGATGAATTACTGGATTCGAAAGATAAGGAAAGGATTATTAATATAATAAGAGAGAGAAACAGGGAAAAAAACTTCGAGATCAAACATTATCTTATTCTGAGGCACAAAGTGCAATTTCATCCGAAATTTCTCAAGATACCACATCTATTCTGACCCATGACCAGAAAACTATTCAATCAGAATCTCAAACCTTTATTGAATCGGGGCAAATATCCATTGATCAAACGCAAAATATCATTTCTTCCGAAATAGAGGAGCTAGCAAAGCAAAAAATTCCCTATAATCAAAAAGTAGAACAAAGCATAATGCATGAGCTATCTCTTTATGCTAAAGAAATTAGTAATATACAAGAAATAGATGTGCAAATTCCTGAACTTCCTCTAGAAAAAATATTAACAGGATCTGATAAAGTTATGGCTCAGATTATAGTAGATTTGTTTAATACGGCAATGAAAACTAGGCAAAAAGAAAATTTATGCTGGTATTATTATATTAAAGCATATGAAGATCAGGTTAGGGATATTAAATCCAAGAATAAAATTGATGACCAATCAGCTAGAACGCTAGTATATAATGAAATCAGATTGCTTCTTCCTGATATCTCTGATGTAAATTTGCGTAAGAGAACTTTCAAAGCTAAAAAAGTTTATACATTATTCGAAGGGATAGGAATAGATATGATTAGGTAAATAACTTACAGTGCAAATGCTATTTCAAGCCTAATGGATATTCAAATCCAAAATATTATAAATCATTTTCATAAAAAGGCTAATACAATTAATTGCCAAGAAGTGATCAGCATTCCAAAAAAGAATGTACACGTGGTTGAACTGCCTAGTTCAAATAATATACCAAACACTAAGGTAAGCATACCTACTGAATCTTAAATTTCTGATTCTTCTGGCTCTGAATCAATCCAAGGAAATGATCAAGATGGATCAATGGCTTGAAACTCTGCTTCCTCGAAATTACCAGAAGCTGAAGTAAGTATATCTACATCTAGTCACCTTGTGACTGTCTCTGATAATAAATCTCATCCTCCTATCTCTATTTTACCTGATGATCCAAAAGAGAAACAAAAACATGTTATCAAAATGATACTGAAGCAGTTTCGAAATTTGTCTTTAAAATATAGTACCAGGGATAATGATTACTTTGACTGTTCAACAATCTGCCCTATATATAATAAAGACCATAAAAAAGAAAATATAAGAGATAATGTAAAAGGTGAATGGAGTAGTGGTAATTTTGTCAATACAAAAACTTATCATCTCAAATGCTAGGATACTTATCAAAATTTAATCCAAATAGTAATGGTAAAAGCATAGAGTAATAAGCATGTAAGATAAATATGAGATCACAGGCTTTTTATTTGATATGTTTCATGAACTTCTATATTGATCCTACCTGTGATGTGATTGGTTGATAAATTTCTGACCATTAACAGTTTTTTAATTATTCTGATTGGATGGATCACTACTCTGAAGAATAGACCCTATTATGAAGCTTATTTTTATGATTTTTTCAGATAGGAGAAAACAATCTTTTTCTTTTTAATATGAATATGATTCTTTCAGAGATTTATTAGATTGAGATCATACCAGTCTGAATTCATGAATTCTGAATTAGAGCTGGATGAATCAGTCTCTGTTTCAGATTTGTTATGAAATATTCCATGATGTTTCTTTCATTACTTATTATTACAAAATAATGATCTTTCAAGTCTATCTTTGATATTTAAGAGAACTTTATTAATTATATTTATAACCTCCTCTTGAGCTAAATCAGGTTTAGATTCTGTTGATTTTGATAAGTTATTTTTAGTGGAACTGATTTTATGACTCGAAAAGTCACCTATGGGTCTGCTATCTTCTTCGATTAATGGAATACTCATACCATCTATCTTAATTTTAGCATAACGCTTACAATTTTTCAGAGAAAATCCAAAGCTAATTTTTGCTTTGCGCATCCATAACCAATCCTGTCCTAGCACCAAATCAAATGATGGATTTTTATGAATTTGAAAATCTATTATTTCAGTACCATCTAAGCTTCATCACTTTTCTTTATATCAAAATTGCAAATCTAAGTATTTTATTTCTTTAACTATCAAATCATCACTGAATATACCTTCTAATCCATAATCTTCTTCAAGCTTATTATATAAGCACTTGCTAATAGTATTGGATTTAGATATTATATCGATTAATACTTTTACTGGAATTTTTCTCTCTACGATTATTTCTATGAAAAATATGTTAAATATTATTTAATGATATATATTATAACCAAAAAAATAACTCAGTAAATAATTACCCATTCTTAGTGATTCTTCATCTTCATCCTCAACTGAATCAGGCTCTGAATATTGTTGTGATATGAACTTTTAGTAGAAATTAGTTAATTATATTTTATTGGTCGCCTCATATCATAATATGATTGGATGAATAATTCTTTATATCTTATTGGACATTAGCTTTAGAGAATATTATTTGTAGAT